AATGATGGACAATATAATTAATTATTCGGTTATTTTTTCTTTGAGAAATAAACTATTGAAAAAGTGACAAAGACTTTCCCGCCAACCTAATAAAATGGATATGATAGATCTCGACGAGTATTACAAAAGGATACTAGTTGGAATACTGTAGATTGTCTATGAATAAAGTTACAAACCCAAGACCTTCGTAACTACGGCGCCACATGTATAAAGCCTTGTAATTTTGTTCATAGACAAGATACAGTATTCCAACTAGTATCAGTTCGTAGTACTTTTCAAGTTCTATTATATCCTTTTCAGCTGGTTCGAAAATTTTGATCCTGAAAGAAACTATGGCAGGGCCCGCGTATATAGCATTCCTTAAACCTTATTCCAGCTTGACTTGGGTTCTGACCAATTGTCGGGAAGCAGATGCAGTGGGATCAGTGATCAACTATGCTGAGGGCCATGCTCATGTGGTACTAGGTCCACCATGTACAAGACCCGCCCAAGTTGCAGGCTCTGTTGCCAAGTACCTAGACTTCCCTTTGATTCTATGGGGACCTCCATTCGACTCCAGTCTTCTGAATCAGTTTGAGTATCCTACAATTGCTTCTACCACGTCTAGTACACTATAGTAAGAGACATTGAAGAAAGCTTCAATGTAAAGAAATGATTACAGCCAAGCAAAATCTATGATGCGAATGATAAGCTACTTCAAATGGAGTGAGATCGCGCTGATCTATTATGTTGCAAGATCAGATCTGATTCCACGATGTACGCCGTTGATATCGGACTTCGAGACGTTGGTGAATAGCAATGACAACCTGACAATCACGTATCGGAGACAGATGAGTGTGATCACGAATACCAGCTATGCAACTGTACTTAGGAACTTGAAAGAGTTAGCAAGAGGTTTGAAGAATTTATCATAATAGATGCCCACTTTATACGTGCACTTTGAGCTCAATTATCTCGGTTTCTCTGAGAGGTATCAAAAACTGTTCAACTGATGAAATATTGGTGATATTATGATAAATAATTTATCAGTTGACACATTTTTGATATCTCTTATAGGATTCGAGATAATTAAGTTCAAACTTGACAGTGTGGGGCTCCTCGAGGTTAGAGACGCAGCGTGTCTCGTTGTCTGCGCCTCTAACATTTATCATATTATTATACAACTTCCTTTTTTTAGTCGTCGTCGTTTGCTTGGAATCCGATGAAGCCCGCCGAAACCTTATGATTTCGATTTCGGAAAACGGAATGGATACCGATGAGTATGTCTATCTGATGGTCGAGTCGAGAAGAGCCGGATTTTGTAAGGATTCTTCATTTTTTGATAAAATTTTAAATTCTTTTAGCAACAACATTCTGGAATGGGACCGATGGGAAAAACGATTTGGCATTACGAGCAGCTCGAAAGTTTTTGGTTATGGACAACCAAAAGTATAATGATACCACAACGTTTGTGCAGGAGGTCCAGACAGCGTTCTCCAGGCCACCTTTCAATTGTCCTAATTGTACTAATATAAGTCCTACCATATCCCAAGTGGGACCATTGGGAGATGCCTTACTACTGTATGCCTATGCACTGAATCGATCAATAGCTGCTGGAATTCCAAATCCTACGGGAACTCAATTTTGCAACATAGCAAAGGGAATGGAATTCTTAGGGTTTACTGGAAAAGTGATAGTAAACCAGAACACGACTCGCACTCCAATCTTCGTAGTCTACAATTTGGACACCGCCGACAAGGAATTCCCAGTGATGCAGATTGCGGAAGATCTAGATGACTCGTCGGACCCGGTAGAATCAACCGTGAATTATTATGTGATTTGTGTCGACGTTCGCAGAATTCTTGAATTGGGCACCGTAGTAGTTTACTTTTGCTGAAGTCCTGTCCTCCAAATCTTTAGTTTATAAGTGTCCGATTATTCTGTGAGAGGTTCGGCCATTAATTTACTTTTTGACATTCAGATCACCCTGACAGCACCAGAGTCAAAAATATGGGGTACATGGGGAGGTACAGCGCCGTTGAGCACCCCGCTTTGTGGATTTACGGGGACAGACTGCCCAAAATCATTCACGGATCAGTATTTGGCTATCATTCTGGGATGCACAGCAGCTGCATTGGTTTTGATTATTGCAGTGATTTCGACGATCGTGTTTTTGGTTAGGTAAGGTCCCTTTAGCTCAATTATCTCAATTCCTATGCGAGATATCGAAAAAGTGTCAACTGATAAACTATTTCTGATGTTATGATAAACAATTTATCAGTTGACAACTTTTTGATATCTTTTAAAGGAACCGAGAAAAATTGGCTCAAAGTTGATCTCCAGATCTAAGCGTCTCGAGGAGGAACGTCTCAACCAGCTATGGCAAGTTCACTTTGCCACTCTTGTCAAGCCTCCACAAAAGAACACAATGCACAGTTCTCGAAGTCTTCAAAGTACAGTAACCACGAGTACAAAAGTCACAATCAACTCGAAAAAGGATACTGAACGTCACAGTTTCTACTTCCTGAACAACGACTCCGTGGTAGCAAGGAAGCACAATTTCCGCGCGGTTTTCACTAAAAACGATAGAGCAATGTTTAGAAAAGTGAGTCACGGGTTCAAGGTTTCCATTCGGTCGGGAAATTTTGCTAACCGACCGACCGCCGACCGCGCATTTACGCATCAACGCGCAAATCGACAAATTCGGTCTGCGGTCGGTCGGCGGTCGCCGATTCTCAACCAAAGACTCACACGGGTTATCTAGGCAGTTTTCATGATATTCAATTTTTCAGATGCGAAATGTAGATCACGATAATCTTTGCAAGTTCATCGGATTGTCTCTCGACTCCCCCACCTTGATCTCTGTCTGGCGTTACTGTTCCCGTGGATCCCTCCAAGATGTCATTGCAAAAGGTTCCCTTCAGATGGATTGGTTCTTCAAGTACTCGTTGATGCGTGACGTGGCAGAAGCCATTTACTACTTACATCACTCGCCGATCGGACCACATGGGTGGTTGAGCTCTTCCACTTGTTTGGTTGATGAGAGATGGCAGGTCAAAGTAACGTTCTTTGGGTTATCAGCTATCAAACAATTCGAGGTCAAGGAGCAAAAAGATTTCCTACACACCGCGCCAGAACACATTCGAGACGTCCATCTACCTATTACCAAAGAAATGGATATTTACTCATTTGCTATCATCTGCTCAGAACTTATCACCAAGAAAAGCGCATGGGACTTGGAAAACGAAACTTTTGATATCGAGGAACTGGTGTATAAGATTAAGAAAGGAGGTCGTACACCGGTTCGACCATCGCTGGAGACCGAAGACGAGCATAATGGAAGTATGTCATTGTTGGTGAGAGATTGCTGGAATGAGAATCCGGATCAGAGGCCGACCAGTGAACAAATCAAGACACTAATGAAGAGTATGAATCACAATAGGTCTAGTAATCTCATGGACCATGTCTTCAATGTGCTAGAGCAGTATGCTTCGAACTTGGAGGATGAGGTTCAATCCCGTATGAAGGAGCTTACAGAGGAGAAAAAGCGAAGTGATGTTCTCCTGTACAGAATGCTTCCAAAGTAAACGAATCACTAAAATCAGTTTTAATTTTTCAATTTCAGACAAGTCGCTGAAAAACTAAAACTGGGTCAATCTGTGGAACCGGAAACGTTCGATTGTGTCACTATATTCTTCTCTGACGTCGTATCCTTCACCACGTTGGCTTCCAGATGTACCCCTCTACAAGTTGTCAATCTCCTGAATGATTTGTACACAACCTTCGATGCGATTATTGAGCAGCACGATGTTTATAAGGTAAGCCGGACCTAATTCCCAAGACCTAGAATATTAAACATGACCGAATGGGACCAGGTGGTCTTGACCATCCGGGTATGGTCATCTTCATTCTTCATGGTCCCGCTATAATCAAACAGAGCCAATTTTATTTTAGGTGGAAACCATTGGCGATGGCTACCTCTGCGTATCCGGTCTTCCCCACAGAAATGGAAACGAGCACGCTAAAGAAATCTCATCCATGTCATTTGCCCTTCTGAAAGCCATCAAAACATTCCGAGTGCCCCATCTACCAAAAGAACGAATCAACATCCGAGTTGGCTTGCATACCGGACCCGTTGTCACCGGTGTCGTCGGAATGACAATGCCCAGATATTGTCTGTTCGGAGACTCGGTGAACACCGCGAGTCGAATGGAGAGTAATGGAAAGCGTGGGTTTTCAGATTGGAATTATTGCTTAAAAATGCTATATTTCAGCCGGAAGAGTTCACATTAGTACCGAATGTAAAAATTTCCTAACTGACACTATTGGAGGATATCAGACGGAACCAAGAGGAGAGGTTATCGTTAAAGTAAGTACGCGCACTTTGATCTCAATTGTCTCGGCTCCTATAAGAGTTATCAAAAATCTGTTAACTGATAAAATGTTTGTCATAATATCACCAACATTTCATTAGTTGATACATTTTTGTTATCTCTTATAGAAATTAGGATAACTGAGCTCAAAGATACGGTAGGTTTTCTCAAAGTAAAGAGGTTATTTGCAGGGAAAAGGAGCTGTCCAAACTTATTGGCTGTTGACGGATGATGAAATCGAAGCGAAGAATGATGGAGAATCTGTTTGAATCTGGAAATAATGAAACCTCAAATAATGTACATATATAAAGTTTTATTGTTTTAAAGTTTTCGATTTTCTCTTTTATCAGGTGCCGGCTTCTGATTTCTGGTCAGGAATTGATGATATCATCCAGATTCTGGTCTTTACTTGCACAAAAAAACGGCTGTATGGCGGGCCAACCTAGAAAAAACTAACTTTTAATTTGCGCTAATTCATCTCGGTTCTTGAGAAAAATATGAAAAATTTGTCAACTAACAAAATGCTTATCATATTATCAAAAACATTTTATCAATTGACACATTTTTGATATCTCTAATAGGAGCCGAGATAATTGAGCTCAAACTTGACTGTGTGGGGGGGGGGGGGGGTGGCTTTCTATTACAGGTTTCACGGTATTTTGAAAACATATTTTGGTATCAGTGAAATGCATCTCGGGGAACAACCTGCATAACAACAGAATAGACAAGAGAGAATCATTCTCTCCCTGTCCTCCGCGCACTTTTCTTATTGTTGTTACATATCTTACCTCTCTTCTCTCCCATATGATTTTGCCGTCTGCTACAATTTTTATTATTAAATTTCACTATTACAAATTTTTCAATTCGGAACATTTCTAAACTGATTTTACATGACAACTAGGGTGAGTTTTCGAAAGTAGATGACGTCTTAAGCCATAAATCATAAACTTACACACATCAAAGTCAAACCAGAGGGGGGCTAACACATGATGACAAATTAGATGGAGGGGCGTCTTGTCCGTTCATTCACATCTAAAAATTGAACAGACTAAAAAACAGTATTACTATCTGTCCATGTACACCTCGATACCGCATGATTCATCGTTGCAGACCGGCGACGGATTCGTCACACGTATTCATACTTCTTCTACTACTCCGAGTACTAAATTTGAAATTGTGGAAAATGAGGAGAGGACACAGCCTCAAAAAGTGAAGAGTGGTTTCAGGCAGTGAGTTTTTTTTCTGTTCCTATACCTGTAATACAAGGGCAGAAACCGAGCTACTGGTCACCCAAGCCGTCATATTTATGTGCATGCATCTCAGCTACTGTCAAATATACCAAAAAATGGTCAACTGATAAAACATTGGTGATATTATGATAATCAATTCTCCAGTTGACAAATTTTTAGTATCTTTTACAGATAATGAGATGTTTGAGCTCAAACACGTAACGGCCCTTCTATTGCAGGTTTTACGGTACAGTTGGATAATAACGAGTTGAGTATGATCATCTGGAGATCTTTAGTATCGTTTCCAAAAAAAAACGAGGTCATCAGAAAACTTGTCTATGATATGATCAGATAGGTGATATGTGTGTGATTAGGCGAATTTCATTTTATTGATTCTTAATCTAGAGTTTTTTACTATTTTTTAAAAATATTTTTTTTTCTTGATTACCGCAAATTTGTAAAATCTTTCAAGTACTAAATTTTCGACTTCAAATTGACCCTAAATGTTAAGTTCAAAGCGAGTTATGGGTCAAAAACCATAAAATATCATACTTTGGATGTCACATTCTTTAAGCTTAACTATCTCGGTTTTTGGAAAAGCTATCAAAAAGCTGTCAACTAATAAAATATTGGTGATATTATGATAAACAATTTATCAGTATACAAATTTTCGATATCTCTTACAGAAATCGAGATAAATTGGCTCAAAGATAGAAGTTAGGGAGTTCTTCTACCGCAAATGCTTTAATGTCCACAGTATACGTCCACTTTGCGGTTAATTATCTCCCTTCCTGTATAAGATACAAAAAAATTGTTAACTGATAAAATATTTCTTATAATATCACCTATATTTTATCAGTTGACCAGTTTCTGATACCTTTTAAAAGAACCGAGATCTATGGGCTCAAAGTTAGAGCGCACAGTAGGTGCTAAATGACTAATGGCATTTTCACTCAAAAAAAAAACACAAACTGTTGACTTTTGGATGGACACACTCCGCCCATCGTTTGAGTGGCCATCATCATCCTCATCCGTCTAAGCAAACAAACACATGTCTCTATTGAGAAAAATAGGAGAATGACCGCCAACCCAGCAGCCAGTTTTCGCCGCATCCCCCCTGTTTTGCGCCCCTCTGTGTGGGCTTTTGGCTTTCCTTCTTTTTCGCTTGACCGATCATTTCTAGCGTTCTTGATTTTCAAAGATCGTTTGGCTGCCGATTTTTAAGATGATTTTCGGACATACCTAAATTTTCCCTGATTCTTTGGGGACAAAAAGTAGCTATGGAAGCTACACTAAACTAGTATTTTCCAGATTCGCTGTGCGTCTCGGCTTGGCTCTTCTAACCATGACCATATTACTAACCCTCCTTCTATTATTCGCATCTCCAGCCGTTCATGGAGAAGTCTATGAATGGCCAGCGCCATCGGATGCCATTGAGAGGAAGTTCGAAAAAGCAGCATTGACATCTGATAATGCGGCTTGTTCGAAAATTGGAGGGTAGGATCCGGGTCTTTGCGGGCCCTGCCATAGCTTCTTTCAGAATCAATATTTTTGAACCAACTAAACTAAATATGATAGAAGAACTCAAGAACTACAAAATGATATTGATTGGAAAACTGTACCTTGTCTATGAATAAAGTTACGGGCCAAAAACCGTCTGAGCTACGCGGTCACAGGTTTAAAGCCTTGTAACTTTGTCCATAGACACGATACAGTAACCCAAATAGTAAGATTTTGTAGTATTTGTTGAGTTCTATCATATCCATTCTAATTGTTCCAAGAATACTGATTCTGAAAGAAACTATGGGGTGGGGCCCGGTTTCCAAGTATTTCTAGGATTACTTTTCAATTTTTCACTTTTAGAGAAATCCTTCGCAAAGGTGGAAACTCTATCGATGCTTCCATCGCTTCAATGTTCTGTCTAGGAGTGGTCAATCCACAAAGTTCGGGTATTGGCGGAGGATTTCTTATGACCTACTACGAAGAGAAGTCTGGGAATTGTTATTCTATCGATGCTCGTGAGACTGCTCCAGCTGCTGCTCATAGAGACATGTTTTTGAATGATAGTGATGGGTCGAAGTACGGTTTCAAGGCGGCGGGCACACCTGGAGAGATCGCAGGATACTGGCATGTGTTCAAGAAGTTTGGAAGTGGAAAAGTGACGTGGAAGGAGTTGGTGCAGCCATCAGTGAAACTCGCCAGGGATGGACATCCAGTGTCGCCATACTTGGCTACTGTAATGAAAGTCAAGGAAAGGCATTTTAGGCTGTTCCCTAGTGTTAAGTGAGTGGATTAATTTTCTAAAGGTTCCAATTTGCCCGGGTTTAACCCATTTTGACATGTTGTGTCCGGATGGTCTAGTAGATTTTTCCATCAAGCGTCCGCACCAAAGTTCGACTCCACCGGGTGTCAAAACTTTTGTATTTTTGTGTGGTCTTCGAAAAACCCATTTTTATCCGCTGGACCTTTGGAACATTTTGAAAAGGAGTTTTGATTTAAACAGGGGCGGTCACTAGCTGATCCTACAATAGTCTTATTTAAAATCAATATTTTTGGAGCAATCAAAATAGATATGATAGAACTCAACGAGTACTACAAAATGATGTTTGTTGAATTACTGTACCAATGAACACTGTTACAAGCCATGAAGCTCCGTCGGTTTTCAGCTTGTAACTTTGCTCATAGACAAGACACAGTAATCCAAAGATCATCATGTTGTAGTACTCTTCGAGTTCTATTATGTCTAATTTACTATTAGTTGATCTAAAATAATTGATAGCAAGCCCCGTTATATAGAACTCTGTTTCAGACACTGGATCAACCCTGAAACCAATGCCACTTACGCATCTGGAGACATCCTGAAGCGCCCAAAACTTGCAAAGACTCTCGAAAGACTCGGAAACTCTCCAAACCCGGTTCAGCTTTTCTATCACGGTGAAATGGCTAAAATCATGGCCAAAGAGTTCCAAGAGGGCGGTGGTTTGATTACAGAGAAGGATTTGGCGAATTATAAAGTCAGAGAATATGTGAATTCCAATTCGAATGACCACTTTAGAGGGACCTTGACAATGTGTGGAGGTCCACCACCTAGCTCCTTCGGAGTTACACAGCTGATCATTTCAGTGATGAGCAGTGAGTCTTCAGAAGTTCTCCCAAGCTAATAGTTGAGATATAATTTCCAGAACTCTTCCCCGAAGGCCACCACGACGACATCTATCAAGACCCTAAAGTGCTTCACAAGTACATTGAAGCCATGAAATTCTCCTACGCTCAACGCACTCTTCTCGGAGACCATGACTTTGTCAAAGGGGCTCTGGAACTTTCCAAAAACTTAACTACCCCAGAATACACTCAATGGGTGATTGATAGAATGGAGGAGAAGGCGCAACCATCAAAGAACTATGGAGGCATCGCACAGTACGTTCCACCGGACCATGGTACCAGCCACGTGTCCGCTATGGATCAATATGGGAATGGAGTCTCGGTGACAACAACTATTAATAGATGGTAAGGTTTGAGCCCAATTATCTCGGTTCCTATGTGAGATAGCAACAGTATGTCAACTGATAAAACATTATTGATATTATGATAAAAATTTTGTCAGTTGACAAGTTTCTGATATCTTTTACAGGAATCGAGATAATTCAGCTATCATTTAAGGTTCGGTGCCGCAGTCGAGTCCACCGAGTTCGGAATTCTATGGAACGACGAGATGGATGACTTCAGTACCCCAGGAATGGAGAATGGGTTAGTGACATTTGATTTGAACATGTTTAATCAAGGTTGCTGCAGATTTGGCTTCGCTCCATCTGAAACCAACTTCATCGAACCAGGAAAGCGACCGATGAGCAGTATGTCTCCAATGGTGATTTTCGATCATGTCACCAAAAAAGTTAGGATGGTTATCGGAGGATCCGGTGGATCGAAGATTATTTCGGCGCTGGCTAAGGTAAGAGAAAAGAGGAGCGTTCTAAAATGCTAATCTTTTTCATCATTGAAAGTTCGGAACCTACTACCGTATTTCCTCCAATAGATCCTCAAAGCTCTCACCCGAACCATCAACTTTGAGCTCCATTATCTCAGCTCCTGTGAAAGATATCGAAAACTTGTCGACCAATAAATTATTTATCGTAATATGAGCAATATTTTATCAGTTAACAGATTTCTGATATCTTTCAAAGCAACCGAGATAATTGAGCTCAAAGTTGATGGTTAAGGGTGTCGTTCAATAGAAGGAAATACATAAACTTCAAATTCAATTATCTCGGTTCATTCAAAAGATACCAAAAAGTGGTCAATTGATGAAATGCTTGTCATATTATTCCCAATATTTATCAGTTGATAACTTTTTGATAACCCTCATAGCAACCGAGATTATTGAGCTCAAAGTTGTCGACTTGTATTGGGGCCATCCTGACGTTGAGAATGAAGTATTCATAATGATTGAACAACGAACCAGATTTCAAACCCCTAAATTTTGAATTTCGCGCTCACAAAACTAAGACTAACAATTTTCAGTCCGTGGTTCGCTCTCTAATCTTCCATGACTCCATCAAAAAGGCAATCGACGCCCCAATGATCCACAACCAGTTCACCCCGGACATCACCCAACTCGACGACGAGTTTCCTCAAAATATGAAGTCGATACTAGAAACTGAATACCTTCAAAAGTTCCGAAACACCACCGGATTCGAGGGAATCATTCAAGGTGTCAATGTTCTGGAGGATGGGATTTATGCTTGTGGAGATTATAGGAGGAAGACTGATCAGGAGCCAGCTGGATTTTAATTTAATTGTTTAATTATCTTTTTAATTTGTTGTTCTGTTGAAATGGGTATTAATGTAAGGTATTTGAGAATTTCAATTAATATATGAATTATTCGCCTTGTGTTTGTTTTTAAGGTCCCCAAGGACCAAATAGGGGAAAACGCATCTGCCATTTAATCCACCTATAATTATGGACCCTTCACCCTTTAGGCTTCAGCCAATGGACAGGTGATTGGACCGCCCATGCTAAGACTAGCCCTTTGGACCAATCTCAGCATTTCTACGACAGAAACCTTGCCCACCATATATGCCCCTATTCTACCTGCATTCCTATTATTTCGGAACTTCAATGGGACCATCTGATACAGTATCTAGTATTATATCAAGCCATCAAGTGATAGCACCACTGGCTGAGATACCCAGGTCAGAGACTTCAGTGGAAGAGTCTGAAGCTTCGGAATTCGAAGTAGTTCAAGAAGCAGTGGATTCAGATGAACACTACTCTTCTGAAGAGGAATTAGAGGATTCTGGAGTTGATGACGTGCAATGGAGATCAGAAATGAGAGAAGAAGTCGAGAAGAAGGAAAAGAAGGCAAAAATCAGAATTCTCAAAATCCTTGCTCTTCACGTTTTGCTCATCGCCGCTCTTACTTCCAATGAATGGGTTAGTGGCCTAATTTCAACGCGCTACTGAGCGTATTGTTAGATCCGGTGGCGAAATTCTTAAAGGCGCATTCACGGTGAACTTTCTAAAGTAAATGCGCTCTAACGCGAATACTGTAGTTAAGCGCGCTGAGTATCGATGCGCATGCTTAAAAAATGAATTACTGAGTCGCTACGCAGCGAAATTGCGACCAAAAATAAAAAGAGCGCGAAACAATTTTTTTTGAAAAACGTTCCGGAAAATTCACCGTGCGCATTTAAAGGAGCATGTACTTTCGTAATTATGTTCTGGCCTGTTTTTTTCGATTTTTAGGTAATTTTGAGCTATTTTTACTTATAAATCCGAAAAATCGCAAAAAATTACATTAAAACAATGAAAAATGACCTATTTTGTCGCGATTAGTCAGAATTCTGTGGAAAAAAAATAGTTCAAAATCGATAAAATTCGTAGAAAAATCGAAAAAAGTCATTAAAAGGCGCATTCAAAGAAGCACATTCTATTTTCTAGCCGAATTTCGACAAAAATAGGCTAGAAAATAGAGTGTGCTCCTTTAAATGCGCCTTTAAGGAAATTTCCCTGGCTTTTCAACGAATTTCATCAATTTATACACTATTTTTTGCACAGAAATCCGACAAATCGCGAAAAATTGCAAATAAACCGGGGTTTTCAATGATTTCCATGGTTTTTGATGCAACTTCTTGCCAATTTTTAGGATTTTCATGTCAAAAATTGTGCAAAATCGATGAAATTCATGGAAAAATCGAAAAAGATCGTTATAGGCGCATTCAAAGAAGAACAAATTATTTCCTAGCCAATGTTTGTCGATTTTTCTACGAACTACGACAAAAATAGGCTAGAAAATCATGTGTGCTCCTTTAAATGCCCCATTTGAAGGTCTATTTCAATTTTTCTTCGAATTTCTGCGATTTTGAACTATTTTTACACAGAAATTCGAAAAATCGAAAAAAAATTGCATGAAAACCATGACAATTTTTTTTCTATTTTTCGATAGACTTTTTTCAGATCGGAATCTATTTTAAGCCCCCTCTCTCCCGCATCGCTTTCCAACAACTTCAACACGAGCTCAACAAGGATGGCGACGTTTTTCTAGAAGCCTTGAAAATCGGCTCAGCGTTGAAGAAGTTCAATCAGCTGGATTTCCATGAGCAACTATGCAATAAGCCTTGGACTCCTCTTCCATCGAAATTCGAAGGCGTTCAGGAGTATCTCGAATTCATTGGGAGGAATGGAACGGCTTATGAAGAAGTGATGTACCTCAGTACACTGGAATTCGCCTCTAGCTTCCGACCCGCCACCTTCTTTCGGATGACGCATTCATCGGGAGGAGGATTCTGGAAGAATGAGTTGGTCCAAGCTTCGTTCGATCATAGCGGAGAAGGAAGTACATGCAGTATTGAAAATGGTCTATTGACTGTGAGGCAATTCTATGAAGGACCATCGGGAGAACAGAAGAAGCAGTACACAAGAATCTATTATCTGAAAACTAGTGATTTGATTCGCTCCGTTGACTCATTATCTTATTAAAGTTTTTTTTTTGAATAAACTGAATGAAATTCATTTTTCTACAATTTGAAACTCTTTTTGCGCATCCGCAGGGGTCGAATTTAAAAGAAAAACACAAAAAAAGGTGCGGCAATGAAAACTATATTTTAAGGTTGTGGTTGTAGAGAAGTTCCTGTCGAGTCGAGTGGCACCAGACGACTTCTTACTTCTCTGGGAACGAATCGAGTCCGGCGATGCGGTACTGGTTGCCAGTCAGTCGGTGATCTCTCTTCGACAATTCCACTCTGAAAAGCACACACACTTTTAGATATACAGTAACGGCCAATAATATATACTAAAAACGTATTTTTCAGTTGATTTTCAGCATTTTCAGGAGTCGAAAATGGTTAAAATGGCTACAAACCTCTGTGGAGTGCAGTAATTGCGGCGGTAGGCTCTTCCGACGTCCCATTTGTTGAATGGATACGACATGTAGCAGGCGCCGGCGACGAACGCGGTCGTGATCACTCCCGAGTAGAACTGTTCGAACCACATGCTGAAAAATAGCGGAATTTTAGAAGAATCGGTAAGAAAGATAGCGAATTTCGAGAGGAAAAACGGGAGAGATAGAGAAAATCGGCGAAGTCTTCACTTCACTGTGGAGACGACGAGAATCAGAGAGTTAGTTGCTGAGAATAAGGAATGAAAAACAAGTTTCAGCTCAGAATCGGCACATTTTAGCATTGTTTTCATCAAAAATAGAGACAAAAAAAATTGTTTCGGTTGCGAACGGCTTGGACAAGCCAGATGATTAATTGTTCAGTTTTTCAACGATTTTTTAAGCTTAAATGAATGCTCAACAAGTTTTTTGTAGAATTTTTAGCTATTAATTCAAGAAAAAGGAACATTTCAGCGCTTTTTAACAGAAAAACTGAATTTCGGCCCTTCGAATGGAATTTGAGCGATTTTCAATAATTTTCAACCTATAACAGGCACTTTTTCATCGAAATTTGTAGGTCATGAGCTCTCTGAAGCTTTAGATCCGTCGAACTTCTGTCCAAATTGAATAAAATCCGAATTTGTATTGAAATCTGCAAATTTCGGTTTGTAACTCAAAAAACTTACTTTCCCTTCACCAACAAAGCATCAGCTATAACTTTAACACTTCCTAATTTGATTTTCGACCTAATTAGCAAAAAAATTGTGAAAAAAACACGAAAAACGGCGAAGGTTCGTCGAAAAAAGCTAGCGAGTAAATCGACAGCGCAGAGGGGCGGAGCCAAAGCGCTCTTTTGCAAGGCTCGCGCGCGGTTTTCGCAAGAGTGCGGCAGGGAGTTGAGGTTTTTCTTCTTTTCGCGAAGGAAAAGATTGGAAGAATGTAACATAAAATTGGAGATGTTCAAAATGGAAAAATTAATGAGAAAAAAGCTTAAAATGTATTGAAGGGCACTTCCTATCAGAAGAAAGGAGAATTAATTAAAAAATAGGAAGGGAATGTAGTTGTCTAATGCTTAGAAAAAATGACATGAACAAAAATTATTTTAAGGTTAATTTGTTCTTTTCCAGCCGATCTTTTACAATTTGAAGTGCTTTTTTGTTAGAAAATTATACAGTTATTGCGAATTTTTATTAAAACTCGCTAAATACTCCGATTTTCATCTTTTTTAGTATTCAATTCAAGTTTCTCACCATCAGGCCAAAACTCTCTGACTTTCAACTTTGAACCCATATATCTCGTTACCTGTAGAAGATATCCAAAATTGGTCAACTAATAAAACATTTTTTAAATCATAATTAACATTTTATCAGTTGACCACTTCTTGATATCTTTTGCAGGAAATGAGAAAAATTGGCTCAAAGTTGACGGTCTGGTAGGTGTATTCTATGTGACTGCTTACGGTAGTTGGATTGTTTAAACTTCATTTTAATAATTCTTGTACTGAACCCCAACATCTTCATTCTCAATTGTTTTCCATTATTTTTTTCCAATCTCCGGAACTCCGCTGATGATGCTCCATGACGAAAAATCATGCCTTCCCAATAACGCGTCAATGTGTCAAAAAATTGTTTGACGGATATCGCGGAGCTCTGTGTTCAGGCGTTCGTCATGTATGGCGAGCATGGAATATCATGACAAACAAATAAATACAAATAGGCGGGAAAGAGCTTTTTCGGCTCATTATTTTTGATCAAACTTGGCAGGATAATCCTGCCAGGCTCTGAATTTTTTTGAAGTACCATTCCTTTCGCTTTGCAAGAGAAGTTTACCTTATACGTGCTCTTTGAGCCCGTATATCTAGGTTTCTATAAGAGATATCAAAAATTTGTCAACTAGTGAAATATTGCTGATAACATGATAAATTATTTTTCACAAGTTCTTGATATCTGATATGGGTACCGAGATAGTTGAGTTTGAAGTTGACGGTTTAAATGTGCTTCTTGCTTCCCCGGAAAAGGGAAATTTAATTTTTATTAAAATGTTATTTTCCGAAGAATCAGAGAAACATTATCCAATTACGGATTCCGTGAATCAGAAAAACAGGTTTTTTAGATTTCAGGTCATCCCCCTCCTCCTCCTCGTCTTATCACTTTTGCCCTCCCAGAGGATAACGAATCCTGAATTTCCTCCCCCTTTTCACTTTCTCTCTTCTCTTATTATCCCTTCTCTTCTGGTGTCCGATATCACCGGGGCGTTCAAAGATAGCGGGGAATTTTCATTTTTACGATTCCCATTCCATTGGCTTCTTCTTTTCATTTTTGACTTTTACCTTTTTAAATTCCCTTAGTTTCAGATGACAACCAAAACTGCTCCCAAACAGGGAACCACGCCAAAAGAGCTGAAAGCGAAAAAGGATTCCAAGATAAAAGGAACCGCTCCAGAGCCACCAAAGAATGGTCCACCAAAGACGTCGCCGCCGAACACAATTGAGAAGAAGGGGATTTTAAGAAGCCTATCGTTTCAGGTGAGTACCTTTTAAGATCAATTATCTCGGTTTCTATAAGAGACGTCAAAAATTTGAAAACTAATAAAATATTGGAAATATAATGATAAACATTTTATCTGTTGACAGATTTTTGATAACTTTTGAAGGAGCCGAGATAATCGAGCTCAAAGTGTACATATTGGGTGGGCTTCTTTTAGAGCATATAGCGACGGTACCCTCTCCAATTTCAGAGTCAATTACTTAGAATATTAAAGATTAATTATCTTGGTACCTATGACAGATATCAAAAGATTTTCAACAGTTGAATCATTCATCATATTATCACCAATATTTTATCAGTTGACTATTTTTTGATATCTCTCATAGCAACCGTGATAATTGAGTTTAAAGTGAACGTATGAGGTATTCTAGACGTAAAGGTAGTTGATTAGTTGCTAGCTCACAAGTTCAAATCCTTCAGACTTCCCGAAATCCTCCTTTTCCAGTTCTCCAACCTCACCCGCAAGAAGTGCAACGACTATGACCTAACCCCAGAAGAAGACGGTGCTGGTTACGACGAGATGGGACCAGTGCTTGGTGTCCAAAACTACGGAATCCTTCTCAAAAAATACAAGCGAAAGAATCGCTCTGCAAAATGGGCCAAACGGTTCTTCGTGCTCAAAGAGTGCTTTTTGATCTACTACGCTACGAGCTATAAGAAAGTTTTCGAGAAGACGAGACGGATTGATTTGCATCCAAAAGGAATTATCCCTCTTATCGGATGTTCTATTGTCTCTGGAGGAGATGTTGATAAGAAGAATTGCCTTCTGATTGCTCATCCGCAATTGCCATCGGCTATTATTGTGGCAGCAGCTGATCATCAAATGCAAGAAAAATGGTTGAAGGCATTGAGAAGTGCCACTAAGATGTAAGCTTGATGAAGTACCGAGTTTTGTAGCCCATATATCTAGATTCCCGTCAAAGGTATCAAAACGTAGTCAACTGATAAAATATTTCTGATATTATGATAAACATTTTATCAGTTGACAAATTGTTGATATCTCTTACAGGATTCGAGATTTTTGGCGTCAAAGTTGGCGGTTTGGATGGTGTGGTCTATTAGAGTGTTTAAAGAGGGACTCCGACCAAAAATTTTTATTGCCTTACAATGCGTTATAATGTATTTATTTGTCAAATATTATTGTGAAAAAATCTCAAAGAAAATCCGAAATCCTCGAGAAATCGGCGTTGAATAGGAAGAAAATTCAAAAAAAGGTGCCGCCGGGGGACGAGGATTTCAGTGAGAAGCTAGGCCACGG